TGAGTTTTAACAAATGTTATAAAATTCTTTTTCTGCATCTCTTGGGATAATAGTGTGATTTTTTTCTTCTTTACTCTCTTACTGTGGTCAGTAACCAACTAGTTTTATATGTTGCCAGATTTGCCTTGCAAAAAATTATTTTAGGATATGTGAGTGTATGTGCATGAAAGCTGTTGGTCTTTTAATTTTTATCTTGCAGTGGCTTCAGATTTTGGTATCAAGATTATGGTGGGTCTATAAAACATTGGGAAGTCCTCCCTCTTCTCACCTTTCTAAAGAACTTTGGTTAAAACTGAATTCTGCCTTTATTTCTACCTTAGGTGGTGGATAGAATTCATTAGTAAAATCATCTGCATCTGGAATTTTCTTTGAGGGAAAATTTTTAATTATGAGTTTAATTTTCTTAAAGAGATATGGGACTATCTAGATTGTTTATTTCTTCTTGAATCCATTTTGGAAAGTTGTGGTTTTTAAGAAATTGTGCCTGACTTGTAGAATTTATCAGATAATGTTTATTATGTTCTCTATTACTTTAATGTCTGTAAGTTCTGTATAAATATTCCCCTTATCATGCGTGATATTGGCAATTGTGTTTGCTCTTTTTTCTTAAATGTTCTGTGAAGTGTTTACAAAGTTTGTTAATCTTCAAAAATCTGAAAGTATTCATTGTTATCTATTCATTTACTTTTGTTTCATTTACCTCTACTTATTTCCATCCCACTTCGGGCTTAATTTGTTTTAATTTTTCTAGTTTCTTAAGACAAATCATTGATTTTAAACCTTTTTTCTTTTCTGGTATAAGCTCTTAAAGCTATACATTTCTCTCTAAGCACTACAGATTTTTATATGTTGTATTTTCATAGTTCAAAATATTTTCTGATTTCCATTTTGAGATTTTTTTTTTACACGTGAATTATTTACAAGTGTTTTGTTTAATTTCTATGGGGCATCTGAGTGGCTCAGTCAGTTAAGTGTCTGACTCTGGATTTTGACAGAGGTCATGTTCTCAGGGTTGTGAGATTGAGCCCTTTGTTGGGCTCTGCACTGGAAGTGGAGCTGTTGGAATCCTCTCTCCCTCCCCCTCTGCCCTTCTCCCACCTCTTTCTCTGTCTGTCTCTCTTTGTGTCTATCAAAAAATGTTTGGGATGTTATACTTTTTATTATTCTTAATTTACTGTAGTCAGAAAACATACTCTCAAGCATATGAAAGAGTCTGGCCATAATGTAGTAACAGAGACCGAGTTTATCATGTTGCCATAAAACAACTTGAAAACTAGGCCATGTGTATGAAACAACTGGACAATAGGCAGCATAGGGCTGTGATTTCTGAAGGTAAGAAAACAAACAACAGGAACCCTCTGGTAGGCTCGCTGCCTACCTACCTGTACCATGTTTGCCAGATCAGTAGCGGCATACCAGCTACCATGGGGTGTGCTGTCTTGCTCAGGCAATGAAACCACATTTGGTTGAGCGCTGCAGTTGGAGTCACCACCTACTTAAGCTCACGATAATCTGTCATCTCCAAGATCCATCTCTCTTCTGCACAAGTATGAGAGTTGAATGGGATGTGGGATCACAACCCTTGCATCTTCAGGGTCTTTGGTGGAGGCACTAATCTCTGCAGTCCCTTCAGGGATGTGATATTTCTTTGATTTACTATTTTCTAGGTAAAGGCAATTCCAATGCCTTCCATTTGGCTTTTTCCACCATAACAGTCAGGGAACCATTGTGAGGATTCTGCTATCTGTTAAGTATGTCTTTCACAATGATGCATTCTGAAACTAGGTCCCCAGACCCTGTGGAACCACAGCAAAACAGACCCGAGCTAAAAGTGCATTCATCATCTGACCTCCATAAGTCCCTACTCTGATTGGAGGGCTGGGCCACAGTGACATTTTGGATCTCCTAAAATCAGAGTCAGTTCAGAGCCAGTGGTCTGATTATTTCCTTTTCCCCAGTATACACTTAGTCTGGTAAAAGGCTAACCTTTTGGGAAAAGCTAGGAAAAAGAGATTAATAGTTTTCATTTTTAGTAGTGTATTTTACGATCCTTCCTCAAGAGGACCCAGCCTCTCCTTCATTGAGGGGATTCTGAGTCTGTAAACTGGCACATGTCTGGGAATTGATTGAGGTTCCAGAATGCTGTTTTTATGATTCAGGTTAGAGTTTTGTTCACTTGGCTTAGAACTTTCCTGCCTATGCAGATCAAATAAAAATTTAGAAGGCTTGATAGAATTGATATAGGATAGATCTTTGATGGCCTTTTCAATTTTTTTTATGAGTGGTTCTCTGCAGCTTTTTCTATGAGGTTTTTTATTTAAACTATTTTCCTAGAAAATTGCCTATTGTCAAATTTTCACTTGTCAGAAGTGTATATAGTAATGTTTTTACAAGTACTTTTTATTTATTTTTTATTTATTTATTTATTTATTTATTTATTTATTTATTTATTTATTTATTTATGATAGTCACACAGAGAGAGAGAGAGAGGCAGAGACACAGGCAGATGGAGAAGCAGGCTCCATGCACCGGGAGCCTGACGTGGGATTTGATCCCGGGTCTCCAGGATCGCGCCCTGGGCCAAAGGCAGGCACTAAGCTGCTGCGCCACCCAGGGATCCCTACAAGTACTTTTTAGAAACCTCTTATTCAGGTCTCCAGGATCGCGCCCTGGGCCAAAGGCAGGCACTAAGCTGCTGCGCCACCCAGGGATCCCTACAAGTACTTTTTAGAAACCTCTTATTCAGATGCTTTTCTCACTGCTAACTTGTTTCAGTCCTTTCTTAATGAAATTTGTCTGATAGTTATATACTTTATTTTTTTCAAAGAATAGCTTTTGGTTTTAGTCATCTCTTATTCTTTTCATTTGGTCACTTCTGCGTTTGTCTTAACTAATTCTTTTTTTTGATATAAATACTTCAGATCTTTTCTAGATTCTTGACTGTTTATTAGCTCATTTAGTTAGACTTATTAACAAGCATCTAAAATTGTCTTCTTATGGTTTTAACTTTGGCCTGGTCCCATATATTTTGGAACTCTGTGCTCTCATGGTCATTAATTTGTTTTCAGTTGTTGAAGTTCATGCTGTTTATTAAGTAGCTAGGTCAGGATTCAAAGCCAGACAGGCTGTCTCCATGAAGTAAGCTCTCTGCCTTATTTAATAGATCCTTGAACAGCATAGATTTGAGCTGTGTAGGTCCACTTAAATGCAGATTTTTTTATACAGTACTGTAAATGTATTTTCCTTGTGGAATTTATTTATTTAGAGAGAGAGCACGCAAGCAAGTGGGGAGAGGGGCAGAGGGAGGAGAGAGAATCTTAAGCAGGTTCCATATCCAGTGTGGAGCTCAACACGTGGCTCCATCTCATGACCCTGAGATCATGACCTGAGCCAAAATCAAGAGTTGGGCATTTAACTGACTTGAGCCATTCAGGTGCTCCCCCCTTATTAAATTTTTAATAAGGCTTTTTTTTTCTCTACCTTACTTTATTGTAAGAATACAAAATATAGGGCAGCCCGGGTGGCTTAGCGGTTTAGCGCCGCCTCCGGCCCAGGGCCTGATCCTGGAGACCTGGGATCAAGTCCCACATTAGGTTCCCTGCATGGAGCCTGCTTCTCCCTCTGCCTGTGTCTTTGCCCTCCCCCCATGAATAAATAAATAACATATTTTTAGAAAAATATTAAGAATATAAAATTTAATACATGTAACAAAGAAAGTATGTGTTCATCAACTGTTTAGGTTGTTGGTAAGGCTGCCGGTCAATGGCAGGCTATTGTTCAGTTTTGAAGGAGTCAAAGTTACACATGAAGGCTCAGCACCTCTAACTCCTGTGTTGTTCAAAAGTCAACTGTAATGTCTTCTCATTGTAGCCCAGGGTGAGTGAACTTAGATGATTTGTTCAGGATCATTAATTGAAATAGTTCATTAAGAATTACAACAAAATCAATTTTTTTTTCAAACTCCTCAGAAACCTTTGTAATATCTGATCACCAGAATTCCATTGACAATACCCTTAGCTTTTTAGGGGCATAGACAGTGAAGATAACTAGGAGCCAGAAGGCCCAAAGTGATTTTGTGTGTTGGCTAGACATTTCTTCTGCTGGTCTCCTATGGGGTCAGGCATATATCCATTGGGGTGCCTTGATTTTCCTGTTAAGTGACCAGCTTGGACTAACTCATGAGGCAGCTGGATTCAAAGAGTCCTTGTCAGTGACTTTTTAAAAACAGCTTTATTGAGATATGTTTTACTCCATTCAAATGTACAGTGCAACTTTAAGAACTTTATCAAGTGATGCAACCATCACACCATAAATCAGCTTTAGAACATTTTAATCCTTCTAGTAAAATCCCTTAAAGTCATTTACAGTAAACACCTCTTTCCATCCCCTACCGGAGGCAATCATTATTCTACTTTCTATCTCTATAAATTTGCTTTTTCTGCACATGTCACTTAAATGGAATTGTCAATATGTGATCTCTTGTCCAACTTCTTTCGTTCAGCTCCCTCATTGAGATTACTCCATAAGATCACATACCTCAGTAGTGTGTTCCTTTTGTTGCTGAGAGATGCTCCATTGTATGGATGGGCTTTAATAGGTCTATAATTTGTTTTGAAACATTTTTGATCCAGGTTTGATATCAGTGGGTCACACTAAGCCCTTAATACTCTGCTTTTTGGATTAAGACTTTTTAGATGGCCTAATATATTGTTTGTCCTTTAGTGTTCCTTGGAAATTTTTAAAGAATGTGCCATATCTTTTTATTTTTTTAATATAATAAGCCAAACCTGGGTGCCTTGTCTAATATAATCTATTACTTAGCTGTCGGTTTATGCGTTTACAAAAGTTATTCAAATGTTCTACCAGTTTTATCAGCCCTCTTATGTTAGAATCTCTGATTATAATTGCCATTTTGTCAAATTCTTGATTTTCTAATAGTTTTTTAAACGTAATACCAAGTATGATAATAGTTCAATATTTATCTCTCTTCTAGTTTGCACATCCTTGAGAGATGCAGGCTACTGCAGTGGTGGAGATAACTTCTGGTAAAGGCTCCCAATACAATGGAGAAAATATCCAGAAAGGTGAGGGGCCAGGCCAGCGGGCTTTATTCTGGATGGAGAAAGGTACTAAATGGATTTGGTACCTAGTTACTTCCCCCTCCAAAAATTGCTATTTTCTAAGCCTTCCTCCTAGTTAGGTGATAAGAGTCATTGTGTTTTGAATTGGGCAAACTCACTCCAGTGATTTCTGGTGAATGTGGGCAGCCTACACGGGATTTCTTGGGTAAATGGAGATGTAGAGAAGAAAAGGTGAGCGAGAAGAGCAGGTTTCTCTATTCAGCCAGGACTTTAGGAACTGGCATGTACGGTAGCCTCCAGGGTGCTAAGTGGAAGATGGGCAGGTTGGCCTCTGCTACCCAAGTTGTAGATGTTTTATCTTCACACAAATCTGAAATTTCTTTCTCTGTGGTAATGGTAGATGAGAAGACACAAACTAACAAGAGCATGGAAAGCAAGATGACTGAGTTTTCTGTGCTTATGAATATATAGGATTTTTTTAAAGATTTTATTTATTCATGAGAGACACACACACAGAGAGAGAGAGAGAGAGGCAGAGACACAGGCAGAGGGAGAAGCAGGCTCCATGCGGGGAGCCCAAAGTGGGACTAGACCCGGGGTCTCCAGGATCAGGCCCCTGGGCTGAAGGCGGCACTAAACTGCTGAGCCACCTGGGCTGCCCTGAATATATAAGATTTTAACACACACAGAATTAGAATAAAATATGGAAGAATACTTTTATAAATCTGTGGTAGAGAAGACCAGAGAGACAAAACCCGGAAGTCAGAGAAGAAATGACTGATCCACTTGACTAATCTTTAAAAACCATGGTGTGGGGCAGCCCGGGTGGCTCAGCAGTTTAGTGCTGCCTTCAGCCCAGGGCCTGATCCTGGAAACCCAGGATACGAGTCCCACATCAGGCTCTCCGCATGGAACCTGCTTCTCCCTCTGCCTGTGTCTCTGCCTCTCTCTCTTTCCTCTCTGTGTATTCTCATGAATAAATAAAATCTTCAAAAAAAAAATGGTGTGTTAAGATTTTGGGCTCCCCCAGGCAGCCTACTTCTCCCCCTGCCTGTGTCTCTGCCTCTCTCTCTATGTCTCTCATGAGTAAATAAATGAAATCTTAAAAAAAAAAAAAAAAAGGAAAAAGTTAAAAGATAAGCAGTAAACTAGGGAAAAAGTCACTAGTATTTTAAATATGAAAAACAAAGAATTAATATCCAGAATTAGAATCCAGTTTGTTATGTAACAAACTCCTATACAAATCCCTAAGAAAAATAGTTGAATTTTAAAGTGAAGCTGGGGCAGCCCCAGTGGCTCAGTGTTTTAGCACTGTCTTCAGCCCAGGGTGTGATCCTGGAGACCAGGGATCAAGTCCCATGTTGGGCTCCCTGCGTGGAGCCTGCTTTTCCCTCTGCCTGTCTCTCTCTCTCTCTAATAAATAAATTAAATCTTTTTAAAAATAAATTAATAAAAGTAAAGCTGACACTGTTAGCCTTAGCTCCAACCCCGTATTTTTTAACAGTTTATCAGATATTCACATGTGAGTGTTTATCTTTGACCTCAGACTCCACTTGCTTGGAACCAACACCTCATTATCTCCTCCCTCACCTACTTTGCTCTCCCTCTACTCCTCTTCATGAAGTGCCTATCTCTTCAGCTTCAGATATTCCCTTTCCACTGTAATACCAAGTTGTAAACCTTAGCATTATCTCAGAATGATGTCCATGCAGGTGGTCGTCATGAAATCAACCTAGCTGATTGTGATCAGCTTTTTTTTTTTAAGGATTTTATTTATTTATTCATACATTGGTCGTAGAGTAGTTACTGTTCTGTAAAATTTTTAGTCACAGTCACTTCTGTGTATATACTGGATCTTGATATAAAATGGTTCTGATTATGTTCTTAGTCCAAAAATTTTGAAAGCCATTCTCTTTCCGTGGTCTCCCATTCCTAATCAGCTACTGAGTCTTGTCAGTTATGGTGCTTTTCTACCTGTCCCTGCTTCTTGTCCCTCTTCTGTACTCAGTCTCCCCTTCCAGCCTTTATTCTGGGGCATATAAACTTACTCCATTCCCATGACTATCCTTTCAAGAAGCTTTCAGTAGTTATTGTCTTGGAGTAACAGCCAAACTCTTAACACATCATAATGTTCATAGCTCCTGTCAGTCATTTCCTTTGAGCTGTTTTACTCCAGCATAGTTTACAATTAACTGAACATTCTATCTTTTTTCATGTAGCTGATTTTCTATGTGCATGCTATTTGATTTGCTTAAAATAACTATTTTGTTTCAAAACACTTTTTAAATATAGTTTTCTCTGAGGTTTGTTTCTCCTTCTCAAGCTCATTACTTCCTCATTAACACAACTCTGTCAGCACTCTTCAACTGTATTGTACTTAAGTGTCCTTTTCTTATCTGTGACCCTTATGAAAGTTGTAAGTGTTGGGGTGCAGTGCCTGTCTTCTTTCCTTTGTCTCTGCAGTGCCTAAGGCTGTCATTAGGAGGCACCCAAAGATTACAGAGTAGCTGCCTTATAGTTAACACCTTGCCATTGAAAGAGTTCAAGAAGAATCTTGGCTATTATCTTAGTCAATGGGGCTACCATAACAAAATACCATAGACTGGGTGGCTTAAACAACATATGTTCATTTATTCACAGTTCTGGAGGCTAGAAGTCCAGATTAGGGTGCCACCATGGTCAGGTTCTCCATAAGGGCTCTCTTCCTGGCTTGTGGATGGCTACCTTCTTGCAGTATTCTCACATGATGGAAAGAGAGAGTAAGCTCTCTGGCATTTATCCCATCTTGAGGCACTTAGCCCATCCTGAAGACCCCATCCCCATGACCTTATCTAGCCCTGATTATCTCTCGAAGGCCCCATCTCTGGTTATTGTTACACTAGGAGTTAAGGCTTTGACATAGAAATTTTGAGGGGGACAAAATTTAGTCCATAGTAGCAACCATAAGGGATATTTGTCATGCATAGTGTAAATCTATTCCTATATTGGGAAGATCTTTGATTAGATCATGTCTCAGGTCTTTTCTAATGTTTAACTTCTGTAATGTTAATGCTGTCAACATTTTCTTCTTTTTTTAACCAGATGAGCCTTCTGATCCTAAGAAAGAAAATTTATTATCTTCCAATAGTTCTAATGAAGCCAAATTGACTTTTCTCGATGATGACTGGGATTCCTTGGTACTAAAACAAATAACTAATGACAAAGACGTCAGCAGTACTGAGCAAATGGATTTATTGAAGCCATCTTGTACTGGGACTCCAGATCCTAACAGAGACAGTAGTCTCTCTCAGGCTAGTGAGTTCAAGGATAGTATTGACTGTGCTTTCTTGAATGAAACATATTCTATACATTATTCAGAGTCAAAACTAAGTGAAAGTCTTATTCCTTTAAATTCAGAATTAGATTCTGAAATGCAGAAAAGAGAAGGGGTGTTTTTTGATATTTTGGAATATCAAGGTAATAAGATAATTGGCTTGGAAAGAACCTATAAGATTTCAGACAATGATTATAAAGAAACTGCTGAAGATGTGCAAAAGCATGATACAGATGAAGACTCACAGCAGGAATATCACAGTGTGGAAGAGCAAGAATACACAAGTACCCACTTATCTTTTGACCAAACAAAAGCATTGAACATACCTAATCTGGAAACTGTTGGATTAAAAAATTCAGGTTATGAATTTGAATGTGCTAGCAATCTAGAAGGTAATCATGTTAAATTGGAAAGTAATTCTAGCATCTCTTTAGATTCAGTTGATGCTTATGGACAAGAAGATGCACATCATGGCTCCAAGTTTCAGAATTCCGTTGTGTTAAGAGAATATCACGAACCAAAGCATGAAATGTATAAGGAACAAGAGACAAGTTTAATGTACCACACAGTCTTTGATGAAATTGTACTACGAAGTAGTCCCCTTGAGAGCCAGGAATCTCAGTCTCAGAATAGTTTCTTAAACCCTCAAAAAGCATTAAAAACTAAAACGTATACTGGCAAAATGAAATGTCAAATAATGGAAAGTAAAGATCGTTGTGGGAATGCAATTGTTGAGAACAAAAAGTCACACCACCTTGAAAATTCTAGCACACTACAACAAGACAAAGCTTTACAGATGTTACTCCAACCTTGTAAAGATTGTCAAACTTCCTGGACCTCTGTTTTTGATGACTCAGTAATATCTGCCTGTGGAAATTCACACTGTAAAAGCCTACAAAATGCCCCTAATCCAGCCTTAGATTTTTCTGTTACTCTCCCGAGGATTGCAGTCAAAGATAACCAGGCAATAGAAGATAGCTCCCTGAAGGTTGCTAATGGCAGTAGCACAAATAAAGCTTGCTTTCACAATACAGAAGGAACACATCCCAAATTAGTGACAGACGCAGCAAACGGTACAGTCACAGTCAATCAGACAGTGGATGTTAGCACTGATTTTAGGGCTTGTTTCACAACCAGCAGGGCAACAAGTGCAAGATTTTCTGTAGCATCTACGTCAAGCAATACAGAGATAACAATGATGAACAAAAAACGGCCTGGTGAATGGCCCAGTGAGAAACAGAGAAGCGTTGCTTGTAATACAGATTGGTCATACAGTCAGAATAATGAAGATGCACCAGGGACTGTGACAAAATCTCTCTCCGTTGACAGTTCAAAACCTAATGGAAATTTTCTAAATAAGGTAAAGCCAAATGCTTTGGTTTGTTGAATTAAAACAGGGGCTTCTAAGGCTTTTGTGAGAAGATGCTGGATGAAGGAAAGGTGAATAGATTGCTACCAAACTCTGTCCTTCTTTGGTGGCAGCTATTGCCACCAAGTCAATTAGAAATTGGGCTTTAAATTTTACCATTTTGGAACTCCAGATACAACATGTGTTTGCCATCTATTTCAAATTTCATTTTAAATCATGTTTTCCAGGATTCCCTGGAATTAAGAAAAGCATCTGCTATCACAGACTTAAAGAAACATCCTGAAACGTAAGTCAGATGCAGAAACTTGCAGATACACATGTGGGAAAAAAAATCAAAACCGTAGTTTGCTTTATGTAGAGTGTTTAGCCATATGGAATAAAACTAAAAGGGACTTAAAGAGATCATCTGCTTCAGCCATTTGCCTTCCAACAAATAAGTATTAGGCTAACGTATAATATTAAAGCTTTTCAATTATTAAGATTCAATCTCAATAATTCCTTCAGAAACTCATGGCATCTTATTCTCATATATCCAACCCAAATCTATACTGATCTATACTCCATTTTCCATAATTTGATCCCCTTGTAGACCAAAACAAAATAGTATCTTTAGAAAACGTACATATTTGAAGAAGTAAATAGCTACTTTCACTGGAGTACTTTAATCTTGATTTTACTTCATTGTGTAATTTACTCTGCATCCATGGAGAACCTAGCCAAATTAGTATTCATGCTCTGAGGCCATTTACTTTTTCCTTCGCTCATTCTTTATTCTCCTGATGAGTTTAATCTGGTATCCAGTCCTGTAAAATTAAGTAGAAGAGTTGACTTCCCATGGCTGAAGTGTTGAGAATATCTAGAAATGGCAACTAGTAGCAAGGGAAGAACTACTAACCAACAGCTATTAACATTCAAGGAATAATAGTGATTTGAGTCTTTTTGATATATTAACAGTGAAATATTTGCTTGTAATAAGGACAGTTAAGAAACACGTATGTACATTTTCTATTAAAGAGATAATGCAGGGGATATGGGTGGCTCAGTCGGTTAAGCATCTGACTCTTGGTTTCAGTTCAGGTCATGATCTCAGGGTTATGAGCTCCAGCCCGGTGTTGGCTGGTACCCATCGCAGAGTCTACTTGAGATTCTCTGTCTATCCCCCCCGCCCCTCTCCCCCTGACTCGCACTTCTGCATGCATGTGTGTTCTCTATCTCTCTCTCTCAAATAAGTAAATAAATAAAATCTTTAAAAAAGAGAGAGAATACATTTAAGAGCCGTATCCATCCAGAACACTTATAACTTTAAAATATGTTGGCCAAAGCTTGATTTATGTTGAAAATCTGTTGATTATGGATAAAGTTGATTCTGTACTTCAGAATCCTTTTCTGAGGGGATCCCTGGGTGGCTCAGTGGTTTAGCGCCTGCCTTTGGCCCAGGGTGCAATCCTGGAGTCCCGGGATCGAGTCCCGCGTCGGGCTCCTGGCATGGAGCCTGCTTCTCCCTCTGCCCGTGTGTCTGCCTCTCTCTCTGTGTGTGTCTATAATAAATCAATCAATCTTTAAAAAAAAAAAGAATCCTTTTCTGATAAAAGAAAGTATAAATTGGAAATTGTTTTACTTCCTTGACTTCTAGAAAGAAATATTTACCTTTGACTTGACATCCTTATTTTCTGAGGATGTAATATGTTCCTACAGCCCTTCCATCTTAGTAGAAATTGATTTAAACTTGACAGGAAAGTGTAAGAAATTTAAAATCTCTTTGAGAGGCATGTCATGAACAGAGAAAAATATTTGGAATCTTACCTAATCCAGTCTTTTATTTTAAAGGGAATGTCGACTTTCTAAAGAGCCGGAGAAGAATTTGCCATCAAATTGCTGTCAGAAACTCATGCAGAGAGCCATCAAAGCAGAGTTGCACCTCTTAAATGTTCACTATCAGATGTGTCACCGCCACTGCACCGATATTTACAGGCTTGTAGTGGAAAACAGGGCAGGGGTCAATAGGTGACTGTTAATTTGAAACCTCTATCTTCTTAGAAAGTTATTACAAGCTTTAAATTTATACCAGAAAATTTATTGATTTTTATTTTTAAGAGGCAAAGTGAGGGGTAGATTGTTAACTGGGTTTGTTAACTGACACAGGAGATTTTTAATTCCATGGGGAGGCAGCAAGATGTGTTGGGATGGTGAATCCAGTGGAAAGATCGACAGGGCATTTCCAATGTGGTTGGAGTCCGTTGCAGAGTTGGCATGACATCCTGGTGCATTCTCTCCAGCTTCTATGCTGAGGGCTGCTTCTGCTGCCCCGAGAAGAATGTTTTCTTTGGTTTTCTTTTACTAAACATTTCTTTTTTTTTTTAACTAAACATTTCAAAGAAAAAAATCTGTAAAGACCTGGTAGAGTCAGAATTCAGCATGTAGTACAATGTAGTATAATGTAATATAATATAATGTAACATAATGCAGTATGTGTTAAATGGATGACTTGTGCCTAAGGAGTTTTGTAAACTTGACTTTTGAACAGATATTTACCAAGTAATTCTACTAAGAAGGAATTAGCACCAGCACTGCTGTCTGTTTTGGGAGATTTAAAGGTTAGATATGAGAGTTTGAAAGAAAAGATAAACAAAGGCATGCCTCTGGAAGAGCTGCCCCCACTGGCCGTGGAGTCAAAGTTATTATCGACCTTGTCTGCTTTTGCTTCCACGGTACGTGTGTGTGTTTTAGAATTAAAATATTACTCCATTTACACAGAATGCATTTTTAACTAAAGGATTTGTCTTCCCTTTTCTCTCTTTCAAGCTAACGAAAGAAGAATCACATGTGTAAGTTATGGTTTCATCTAATGTAGAATTCATTAGCTCTTAAAAATTGCTTTATTTAGTTAACTTTAAATTTTCTGTTGGTCCTTTTTCAGAACATTGATAAGCTATTTAATGAAACATTTGTCTGTTTAGCTTTTCAGGAGCAGATCCTGAACTAGGTAATCCAAGTACATGTGATGCTGACGTCTCTTCAAGCCTAAAAAAGACACTCCCTCAAGTGAGTTTTTTTTAAAGTAGTTCATTGGTGTAAATATGTAATTTTATGGCTTTAAGTAAACCGTCATTTTCAGAGGCTCTCACATCTTTCTTTCCACTCAGCTGGCTTTGTGTACTACCATTTGAGGGCTATAAGTGGTTAGAAGGAACATGTCCTGATCAAACAGTGGACAGTGGTCTATGTTCAGTAGGGTGACCCATCAAACCAGGAGACTTCTGAGGATGACAGGCCGTGACATTAATGACTCACCATGACAGTAGGTATAGACCTGAACTGTCTAAGGCAGCCATGACCTAGGGCCACCAACATGCTGATCCAGTGTGCTTAAAGCTAGTCAATCGTTATCTGCATCTCCTGAGGTAAAGAAATACCTCATTCATTTTAGACAAAGGTTTAATTCTTTCTTTATTGAAATGACAAAAATTTTAAATGCCTCTCATAGGTAGCTGTTCTTGGTCTCTCTTGTCACCCTCTAAGGAATTGTGTGTCCGGTGACAGTCTGTGTGAGGGCACTGTGCAGATTGTGAAGTGGTATAGAAACACAGGTTATATTCCATTCTGAGGTGAGACCGTGCAGTAGAAAAGCTGAAGTTTGTTTCTGTTTTCTGATTTTGGCCTCAACCCTGAGTTTATACCATGGGAGTAGTCTTAAATAATAAGATGCATTTCAAATATACTTTTCAATTAATAAATGATTAAAAGTCAATTATTTTAGCAAATCATGTATTCCATCGTCCTACATGTTTAAAAAAAAATCTCAGTTATCCACAAAGATGTAACAGATCTAAAACCAGATTTTTATATCCTCACATTTCTTACATAATTTGCTAAAACTTGTTAATTTAATAGTATGTAATGTTCTGGAGGATATTTTTCATCATTCTAAGGTAATAATGAGATAGATAACCTGCTTATTGGGGGAGACCAATTTTTTCTAAAAGTACAAGATGCACATACAACAGTTTTTATATAATCTTAGTTTGGGCTCTAAAACAAAACCTATTATAATTTAGGATGAAATTTTGACATCTCTCTCATTAAATTAGCAGATGATGTGTGAAAACCAGTATAGTATAGGGTAATGTTGCTACATTTCAACTACTTGTGTACCATCTTCACAATTTCCTATAGCCATATATTACTTATAACATTATTTGCTTTGTAATTTTCTTTTAAAAAAAGATTTATTCATTTATTTTAGAGAGAGTGCACTGGAGTGGAGGATGGGGGTGGGGCAGAGGGAGAGAGAATCTCAAGCAGACTCCCTGCTGAATGTGGAGCCTGACACAGGCGCAGTCCCGTGACCCTGAGATCGTGACCTGAGCCAAAATCAAGAGCCAGACACTCAACTGACTGAACTCTCCAGGCACCCCTAAATGATTCTCCTTTTTAAATTATGTGTAAAAAGTATTACATATGGGAAAAAATGCTACTTTTTATAAATAAAAGGTATATATAAGCACACATTAAGTATATTACTCCTAATTGTTAGGTATATTATTGTTGTTGTTAAGTGAAAAATACTTATATGTACACTTCTGAAAATCATCTTAAGTACTTCCGGAGTGTATGTGTGCCACACTTCGCTAAATAATATAGTGTTGGCATACAGTCACTGTACACAGGCCAGGGTCGAATCCTTATTCTCGTTAGCCTACTGAATTTGGGAGACCAACCTATAATTAGTAGAAGAATCATAAATTGAAATTTCAGAAACTTGGTACTTCTGGAAATGAGACCTTAAATCAGCCTAAAAGAAAAATAAAAGCTTGTGAAAGGAAGAAAAATAAAAAATATCAAAATGTGAACAATTAATAGATTTTAGAATGAAATTCAGAAAATAAGTCCTGGCATACCTCAGATACTGAAGAGCAGAGACCACCAACATGTATCAAATACCCTTTATCTTTTCGTAAAGGTTCAATATTCTTCATTTCTGCTTGTAGACAAATATAATGTGGCTGACATAAAGGAAAGGAGTTGCTCACCTACAGAGAATGATTTTGCTCTCGGTGCCTTCATTGTTGTGAGGACTGAACAATGTAGTGAAGAGTGCCTGCCACAGAGTAACAGTGCAGTAACTGTTGGTCCATGTTTACTGTTGTTGTTTTTATTTTAATCCTCAGATGTCCTTACTGTCTGACAAGAGTCCTCCTAAACAGGATGCATCACCCAAGGAAGATGGTTTAAAAAATGGTGACATAAATATAGACTTTAGTCAGCTGAAACTCGATGACAAAGGTCAGTGTGAAGATATAAGTCCTGTGTCATTGCCCAAAAACAAATAGCAAAGTTTAAAATAGTCCTAGTGCCCAGTGATAAAATCAAAATAAATATTTTTAATTGACTGGATGGCATCATTCTGATTATGAATGTTAAGTATGTTCTTACTATATCTACTTAACCTCTATAAGATTACTTAATATATTTGGTAATGTTAAATAATAATACAGATTTATTCTTCTGGTTCATGTTTTCCAATCTAAACATTCTTTCCTCTGTCCAGTTTGTATCTATGTAAATTGTCCTTTGTTTTCACTTAGTCCTCTATGGGAAGAGATTATAATCATTCCCCAAAAATTATTAATTTGGTTTTTAATGAAATAGAGCTACAGTACTGATGAATCCCTTTTTAAAGGTGTTTACTATTATTCTGTGTATAAAAATGTGTCTCTTCATCAGTAAAGGATAGTTTAAAAATCAGAAAAGTAAGGTTTAGATTATAAACCTTAGGAATTATAAATTCCTAAGGATTATAAACCTCTAGGAATCTGTTTATTAAAACTGAGAAGCAGATTACTCAGAATAGTATTTTTTATTCAGGGAGTAGCAAAAAAAAACCCTTCTCAAAGAATCTTTATGCTTAGTGTATACTTGGCTGATATTTATTTTTACATAAAACTAGTAATTGTCATCATAGTGATTCATTCTGAGAAGCTTTTTAGATAATTTCTCAGAGAGTAACATGGTACATAATTTACAGCTACTTCCATTCAATTTCTCAGACTGCAAAAGTTACCGAGAAGTAAGTGAAGACTGGTTTGATGCTAAAGAAAACCTGACAGGACTTGATTTCTCAGGAATACAAGAAACTCAAATAGAAAAAGACAAAGGAGATCCAAAGTTTCCACAAGGTTGGTTCATAATAATTTACTAAGAAAATCCTATTCTAGATCATTTTGTGACCATCTTCTGTGTTATTCTCGAAACTGAACTGTTTTAATATTTTATTGTTGTGGCTTTCCTTTAAAATTACAAAACATGAGAAATTGGACAGAGGTCAATTTTTCTAGAGAGTAAATCAGTTTAAAATGTTCATTTCTCTTTCGGAAAACTAAAAGCTTAAACCCCAGATTTAGTTAGCAGTAGGGGTCCGTGACCTCTCTTGCCACTCCAGGCCACCCCAAGTGCTCCTCCCGGCACACTCTTCCTCTGAGCCCTCGATGGACATTCCCCAGGAGAGGGACATATGGTGAGCAGAACCAGCTCCCAGTGTCTGGCAAGCAGCCAGCACTTTCTGTCAGTGGGCACAAGGGATCCAAATGGTCTGTTTCCCCTTAACAATTTGGTCTATTTCAGGAATGTTTTCATCTTTAGTCTTTAATTGCTTATAATGGTTGGAATTTCCTCTAGTATCTGTGATCATTGCCCTTCTATCATTTCTAAATATATGCTACCTTCCTTTCCTTTATTTCTGTATGCTTTCATTTTATTTTACATGATAGCAATGGTTTTATTGGGCTTTTTTGCTTGTGTAAATAATGCCTGAAGTAATGAGGGGCATTCAGGAGATGTTAGGCTATTATTATTGAGTGAAAAAAAAATAAAAATTACAACTATCCCATTAGGGTTTTTTTAAGATTTTATTTATTCATGAGAGACACAGAGAGAGATAGGCAGAGACACAGGGAGAGGGAGAAGCAGGCTCCACACGGGGAGTCCGATGTGGGACCCAATCCTGGGTCTCCAGGATCAGGCCCTGGGCTGAAGGCAGCATCAAACCGCTGAGCCACTAGGGCTGCCCTCCCATTATTATATACAAATAGAAAACCAATAAATTAAAACTACTTTAAGAATTCATTCAATAAATATTTATTGTGTACCAAGTATGAGTTTTACCAGTAAATTGAAAGAGTCTCAATTCAGTGAATCCCTTTTGATTTCAGACCAAGTTCTCTTCAAAATGCACACCATGAAAATACATTCTGAGAATGGAAAAAACTGTATATGTAATCCTAATATTTGTGGTTCCCAAAAAGTGCTATGCAAATCCAGGTGTTTGTACCCCACCCCTTTTTTTTCTAATGTGCCATTGCCATTAACAGGCTGTATACTTGCTGTTGCTATTTTTCTGACTCAGAGGTTTTGTTGGTGTGATGTTTCCCCAGGACAGAAATGAATATACATAAGCCCCAGCCAGTGTTAACCTGGGGCAGTTTGGGTTCTCTCTGCATCCAGCATCTTGGATGCACTTTTGTGAACCAAAGACAAATAAAAGACACCTTCTTAGTTATGTTGTGACTGATTATCCTGACTCGATGTTATTGGCCCATTTTTGAGCTACAAGACACTTGATATTAACCAGTCCAAGCTTGTTATTTTGAAGATGATATGATTAAGGCCCTAAGAACTTAAAACTATACTCTAGGCTCTTGGTCTTCAGTCTAGTTCTGATATTCGGTAATAACTTTGTAAGAAGCCTTGTGATTTTTTTTAAATGGTCTTCACATTTCTTTTAAAACATTAGACAATAATGGTCGTATATTATATTTGTCTACAAGCAGAAATGAAGAATATTGAACCTTTACGAAAAGATAAAGGGTATTTGATACATGTTGGTGGTCTCTGCTCTTCAGTATCTGAGGTATGCCAGGACTTATTTTCTGAATTTCATTCTAAAATCTATTAATTGTTCACATTTTGATATTTTTTATTTTTCTTCCTTTCACAAGCTTTTATTTTTCTTTTAGGCTGATTTAAGGTCTCATTTCCAGAAGTACCAAGTTTCTGAAATTTCAATTTATGATTCTTCTACTAATTATAGGTAGGTTTCCCAAATTCAGTAGGTGCGCTGTGTGCCAGGGGTTCTGTAGTGGACAGTAGCCACAGTGGTGATAAAGTCAAGGGCCATTTCCACAGAGCTTTACCAACCTAGTGGAACTCCTTCCTTGATTCCTATTCCCAATCAAATCTTCCATTGTATTTTTTAATTTGCCATTAATGGGTTATTGATTTTCATGCACTTACTCCTGTTTCCTTACCATTTTGTAGGAGCAGTAGAGTTTCATTAAGAGAATGGGCTCTATAGCTAGATGACTTAGGGCTTTGGGTTCTGTTCCCAGTTGCATCAGTAACTTGCTGAATAAATTTGGGCAAGTTACTTAACCTTTCCAAACCTTAGGTTCTTCATTTGTAAATGAGGGTAATAATAGTACCTTCATCTCATTGCTGAGAGACAATTACTAGTTAATAAATCAATAGGAATAAAGCCAAGCATTTAATAGACACTCAGAAAATTGTATAGGTTTATTATTTTTTATTTTAATTACCTTTTAGTTGATGCTTTTATGTTTTATACATCATCTACATACAGTCATTTCCAATTTGTATCATAATGCTTTCTGTTTTTTGACATTGCAGCAACATTTAAAATCATCAAATAATAGTGGTGATAACTTAATGTAAATGCCTTAACTATTTTATCACTAATGAGGATAGCTGTTTATTTTATATATAAAAGTCTTTACCAATTAAGAAAGGGTCTTATATGGGTGCCTGGGTGGCTCAGTCTGTTGGGTGTCTGACTTTTGAATTTGGCTCAGGTCATGATCTCAGGGTTGTGAGATCGAGCCTGTGTCAGGATTTGTGCTGGGCATGGAGCCTGCTTAAGATTTTGTCTCTCTCCCTTTCCTGCTTCACCCCCCCCCCACCTCATGCTTTCTCTCAAAAAAAAAAAAAAAAGCTGTGATATTGCTTTGATCACATGCTTTTTTTTAAGATTTTATTTATTTATTCATGAGAGACAGGGAGAGAGAGAGAGAGACAGGCAGAGGGAGAAGCAGGCTCTATGCAGGGAACCCAGCGTGGGACTCAATTCTCGGACTCCAGGATCAGGCCCTGGGCCAAAGGCAGGTGCTAAACTGCTGAGCCACCCAGGGATCCCGTTAAATCCTTAAAAAAAAAAAAAAAAACTTGGTTTTTTTGTTTGTTTTGTTTTGTTTTACCATTTGAAGCATTATACAACCTGTGTGGAAGTTTAGAAAACACATTTTTAAAAAATATTTTATTTACTTATTTTATTTAAATACTTCTAAGTATTCATTCATAAGACACAGAGAGAGAGGCAGAGACAGGCAGAGGCAGAAGCAGGGTCCTCACAGGGAGCCTGATGTGGGACTCGATCCCAGGACCCCAAGATCATCACCTGGGCTGAAGGCAGACACTCAAACACGAGCCACCCAGGAGCCCCTAGAAAGCACATTTTAAAAGAAACATACAGGAACTTACAAAAGTATATCCATAGTTGTGTCTTTTGAAAACAACTCTGTTTCAGATTTGATTTATCTCCTTCCACTGACACCTCTATGGCTGGTGATTTCAGAAGGATGACTCTTGCCTAACTTTCTCGGTCAGATGGTTATAATTCTGATTAGATTTTTCTGACTGCATTTTTGGTCCTATTTTTTCCACTACACGGTCTTTTTTTTTTTTTAAGATTTTATTTATTTATTCATGAGAGAGAGAGAGAGAGGCAGAGAAACAGGCAGAGGGAGAAGCAGGCTCCATGCAGGGAGCCCGACATGGGACTCGATCCTGGATCTCCAGGATCACACCCTGGACTGCAGGCGGCACTAAACTGCTGCGCCACCGGGGCTGCCCTCCACTATGAGGTCTGAAGGACATTATCTTACATATTCTGCCAAATGTTTTTAAAATTTGCCTTTCACATTTAAGCCTTTGATCCACCTCAGGGTTATGTTTTATATATAGAGATTAATTTTAAGTTTTTTAGAAAAAATAATCAATTATCCTAAGACTAGTAATGTTACTCTGTCATATAGCAACTTTGCAAATGTTTTACATTAAATTTTAATGTGAAATTAATAGAGAATTAACAAGAAATGCTGTCTTTTACTTACCATATTTGGGTTTTTTTAAAGATTTTATTTATTTGAAAAAGAACAGAAACAGAGGTGGGGGGCAGAAGGAGGAGAAGAAACAGGCTCCCCGCTGAGCAGGGAGCTCGATGTGGGCTCAATCCCAGGACCCTGATATCATGACTTGAGCCAAAGGCAGACACTTAACCAGCTGAGCTACCCAAGGGCCTCTAATTTGTTTTTATTTAGTTATCCTAAATAATAAATATCCTTCCTAATCCCAAGGAAAGCATAGTAACCGTTTTATTTTTAGGGGCAGCTATTCTTGTAAAAGATATGTCTGTATCCAGTAGTTACAAAGTGAAGTGTGAGGCAATTTAGTCATTAACAACCTTTATTTTCTCCTTTTATATGTTAGATATGCATCCCTTGCTTTTAAAAAAAACATTGATGCAAAGATGGCCGTGAAAGAAATGAACGGGATAGAAATAAATGGAAAGTCAGTAAATGTGCGGCTTGTTAAAACTCCTGGAGAATATACATCACCACTTTCCTGCAAAAGTGGAAATAGAGTTACTTGGAATAATTCGGAGAGAAACACCAACAAAGAAATTAACTCAGTCTCCTCTATTTCAAGATTGCCCAGAACTAGGCCAAGGCAGCTGGGATCTGAGCAAGACAATGAGTTTTTTCCTTTTGACCAGAAGGTTAGTTTTCTTGTTGGATCCCTTAAATGGTCTTTGTATAGGCCATACCGCAATAAGTAGGTTTGTAGAACAATAACTCCAGAATCAGGGATCTTGAAGTGGGAATGAGAATGTTAATCTGTATCGTTTCTAACCTTGAGTCCACCATAACCTGTTTTTTGTATGACTTAGTTGCTCTTGGGGGAGGGGGGTGAAATAGATCTTTGTGGGCCTGGTATAGACTATTTCTTTTTACCTTTAACTAGACTCTTTGCCTGTACTTTGCAGTCTTTTTTCCTCCTTTTCTTGGACACTATTCATATGTAAGTAGTTAGTTACACTCTCCCATCATCTTTTTTCAAAGTTGATCCTTAATTCATAATCATTAAAACCATAAAATATAGTCATTTTATTATTATATGCCCTCAATTTTACCTCATTGGGGTTTTATTTTATTTTTTTAATTTTTATTTATTTATGATAGTCACACACAGAGAGAGAGAGAGGCAGAGACACAGGCAGAGGGAGAAGCAAGCTCCATGCACCGGGAGCCCGATGCGGGATTTGATCCCGGGTCTCCAGGATCGTGCCCTGGGCCAAAGGCAGGTGCTAAACCGCTGCGCCACCCAGGGATCCCCCTCATTGGGGTTTTAAACACTACATGGAAAATGATGAAGTTGCCCCCTTCACTCTTGTCTCCACTGCTCAGCAAAATGCCCAGGGTCCTAGAGGAATGCCACAAATTTTTAAAAAATTTACATAGAGTAAAATTCACTCCTTTTGGTATTTGAGTTTAGGCAATGCACATGGACGTGTGACTACCACCACAATCAGGATACAGCACGGTTCCATCATTCCATCATTCCAGAACGCTGTCTGGAATGTCTCTGTTTCCTGTTCTTATTTTACCTTTTCCAGAATGTCATATAAATGAATATTATGTAACCTTATTAGTCTGACAGCTTACTGCATTTGAGAGTAATCCATATTGTTTGGTAATAGCATTTCATTCCTGTTCATGTTTTGACCATTTTTATTGGGTTATGTTTTTTAGGTTTTTATTTAAATTCCAGTTAACATACAGCTAACTGGAATGGTTACAGTTAATGGTGATTCAATTCTTCCTTACATCAACTGGTACTCCTCACAACGAATGTGTTCCTTTATCCCAATCCCCTATCTAGCCCCTCACCTCCCCACTGGTAACCATCAGTTTGTTCTCTTTAGTTAAGAATCTGTTTCTTAATTTGTCTGTCTCTCTCCCTTTTTCCCCCTTTGCTAATTTTTTTGTTTCTTAAATTCGACGTATGAGTGAAATCATATGGTATGTTTTTCTCGGTCTTATTTCACTTACTGTTACACACTCTAGCTCTATCCATGTCATTTCAAATAGCAAGATTCCATTCTTATGGCTAAGTAATATTCCAGCATATATATATATATATACACACACACACACACACACACACACACACAACACACACATCTTCTTTCTCCATTCATCAATTCCAAAAGATGAGTACTATGATTTAAAAACGAGTAGAAGACATGAATAGACATTTTTCCAAAGATGACATCCAGATGGCCAACAGACATGTGAAAATATACCCAACATCACTTATCAGGGAAATGCAAATCAAAACCACAATGAGATACCACCTCACACATGTCATAACGGTTAAAATCAACAACACAGCAAACAACAGATGTTGGCAAGGATGTGGAGAAAGAGGAGCCCTCTTACACTGTTGGTGGGAATGCAAGATGGTGCAGCCATTCTGGAAAAGACTATGGAGGTTTCTCAGTTAAAAATAGAAGTAACCTATGACCCAGCAATTGCACTACTGAGTATTTACCCAAAGAATACAAAAATACTAATTCAAAGGGATACATAGACTTTGATTTTTATAGCAGCATTATTTACAATAGCCAGATTATGGCAACCACCCAAGTGTCCATCGATTGATGAATTGTTTATTATTGAGCTTTGAGAGGTTTTTAATGTTCTGAGTACACACACCTTTTATAAGATACATCCGTGATTTGGGAATACTCTTTCTAACCTGTACTTAGTCTTTTCCTTCTAATACATCTTAAAAGAGTTTTTATTTTGATGAAATATAATTTATCAATCTTTTTACTTTTTAACTTGTGCTTTTAGTGTTGTATTATCTAAGAAATCATGGCAAAACGCATAGTCACAAAGATTTTGAGTTAATTTTTATTTAATGTATGAGCTATTATCACTTTTTTCAGCTTCTCAACATTTATTCATTACATTCATCTATTTAGAAAATATTTATTGTCTACAATGAAAAGCAGAGCCTGTCTCTGGTACCTACTCATTATGTGGCTGGGAAAATTACCTAATCTCTGCATCTGAGCTTCCTCGTCTTATAATGGGAGTAAAAGTTCCTACTCCACAAATGTTGTGAGGTTTAAATGAGTTTGACACAGAAAAAAACCTTAGAAGAGTGCCTGCCACAGAAAATGCACTCACCTAATGGTAGCTATTACTGTGGTCTAGCAGTGATTTGGTTCTTTCTTGGAAATCTCATCCTTTCTGTGGTTTGAACTCACTTAAACTACTGGATCCCAAACTCGTTTGTGTTCAACAGTTATTGCATGCCAATCGTATACATAAACATTCTGGGCACATTCTGGGAAAGCAGCACTGAACAACACAGCGTAGAACTCTGTGTTCTTGTATAGTGAAACCTACTAATGTTCTGATGGGAGAGAGACAGTAGTTCTGTATCTTGCCCAGTCTGTTCATCTAGACTTTAAAGTCTCAGTTCTTCCTTTAGTTTTCACTTTTAAGGGATATATATAGTGGTTTCATACCATTTATAGCCTACTTGCATGGTTAATGGTAATTAATTAACCATTTTATCTGTTCAATTGGATTGTAAGATTCATAGGTGGAGGGGGTTCTGTTGTATATGACTAGTTTTCCTTCCATAGTATGTGGTCCAGTTCTGGGCATATAGTTTGTATTGACTACATATTTAGTAAATAAAATGTAGAATACTTATAATTACTATGTAAACTAGTGTTTCTCTGTCAGGTAAGAGAACTAAGCCTCCATGCTATAAGCCTAAGATATCCACTCTATGTAGTGAATTAACCCCTCTCCTGTGCACTGAGAATGGAACTAGTTACGTCCTATATTTAGAGAAATTGAGAAAATAGTTAACACCTGTGTTCTGTGGTTCAGATAAGTAATTCCAGTTGAGAAAGGCTAATTTAGACATAGCTTCAAATATTTTGCCACTGTTAGAAAACATGTGTGACTTTTTAAAAAAATATGGCTCTGAACATGGCTCAAATAAATCTACTTGGTATAAATAATCCCAAATCAAAGTAAATTTTGTAGGAACTTTTATTTTACCATTTGTAATTTTAAATTTTATTTTAATTAAGCCAAAGTATCTATTGGTCACTGATTTTAAGAAAACTTTAAATGTTTATTTAGGGTGTCAAGAAGAATTGTAAACAGATTGAATCAACTAAATTAATACCTGACCCACCTATTCAATTCATACCTCCAAATACATTGAATCTACGTAGCTTTACCAAAATCATGAAGAGACTGGCTGAACTACATCCAGAAGTTAGTAGGTAATGGCTGCAATTCTATTTTAAGTGGTTTTAATATTTTTATGTAAAAATATAATTTGGTGTGATAACTTACCCATATTTAGAATGTGTTACTTTGGAAAGAACAAGTGCTTATGTGTGTTTTTCTTTCGTACAGAGAAAATATTATAGATGCTCTTCAGGAAGTAAGAATAAATCATAAAGGTTTTCTGAATGGCTTATCTATTAATACCATTGTGGAAATGACTTCGTCTGTTTTGAAAAATTCTACTTCCAGTTTGGAATAAAGGAAGCAACAAGAGGTAAATCAAGTATATCTTTTATATTTAAATATTACTTAAAAATTTTAAGCTATTGATTTTTTCAAATAAAAAATAGTATTAAATTTAAGGTAACAAAATAAGTATAAAATTAAGAAGCAAACATAATGCATTAGTTAACTATTAATGCAAAACCTTTTGCCCAAAACTTAATTGCTTAAATGACATTCATCATCCCAGAGTTTGCAGGTCAGGATTCAGGAGTGGCTTAGCCGGGTGGTTTGCCCTTAGGAACTCTTGTGATGTTGCAGTCAAAGATGTTGCCTGGGCTGCAGCCATTAGAAGGCTTGGCTGAGACTGGAGGATGTGCTGCTAAGATGGCTCATTCACAGGGCTGTTGGCCACACAGGCCTCCATTGGGGCTGCTTAAGAGTCTTTACATTGTGGCAGCTGGCTTCCCCAGAGAGAGGGAACAATATGGAGGCTGCAGTGTCTCCGTGACCTACTCACACTTCATGGTTTCTGTCACATTTTAGGTGTGAGTCCTTGTATGCAATCCACACTCAAGGGGAAGGGAATTAAGCTCTACCTATTGCAGAAAGGTGTACCAACGAATTTGTGTATATATTTTTAATTATATGCACAAACATAGCATTCTTTGTTATAGTGAATGCGGATTTGTTTTCAGTTATTGCTATCTAGGTGATTAAAGCCAACTTGCTATAGAGAACAGCTAGAAAAGCTGTATAAATGTAAAGAATATCTATTTAAACAAGGCACTGGAGAGCCATCCAGGTAATGATGAATTAGTGGGCCATGGGACAGAGATGAGTCTCAGGGAAATATGCCCAATATTTGGGACCACTTTTCCCCTGGTATTACTTGCAAGACGGGTAGCTAGTTTAAGGAGTCCTTCTGATAGCACTGAAATGAGGGAGATGGGGCCTTGGTGAACTCTTAGCAATGGGTTGGAACTCAAGCAGGTTGTACTCTAGTAGTAACTATGAACCAGAAATACATAGTTCCTCAGAGGGACTGTAACTCAGCATTAGAATTTATTGCCTGAGTTGGAGTGAAATGATCTATGGTTATTTCTGACATGCACCTAGCAGAAAAGAAAAATTATCTGGAATAAAGTAATACCATTTTAGGCTTCAAATTATTTTTTACCAGTAATTTCACACATATTAGTTATTTGGTAAATAAGAGTGCACCATCAAAAATAACTAATACATGAAATGAGACCACATAAAGGAAAACTAGCGTAAATGCTAGACAATAGAAACTGCCCACAGGGACTCTAGATAT